AAGAGTTAATCAGCTCCTCTTGCACCGTGGAATCAATCACATCAATACAATTACAGTGAGCAGAATCATCTGGAAACTTCAAGGCTTGATTCATGTTGAATATCACCTTCTCATCATTTACTCGCATGGTGATCTCACCCTTTTCTACGTCAATGAGGGTTCTTGCAGTAGCTAAAAATGGCCGTCCCAAAATAATGGGGATATTCCAATCTACCTCACAGTCTAACACAATGAAATCAGCTGGGAATATGAATTTGTCTACCTTCACCAAGACATCTTCTACAATCCCTTTTGGATATGAGATACTTCTGTCAGCAAAGAGCAATGTAACTGTTGTTGGCCTTGCTTCACCCAAATTTAATCGATTAAATACAGCTAGAGGCATCAAGTTAACACTTGCTCCCAAATCACATAGGGCTTTTCCATTGAAGTGTTTGCCTATGTTACAAGGAATATAAAAGCTGCCTGGATCTCTCAGTTTGGGTGGGAGTTTTCGCTGCAAGATGGCACTACAATCTTCAGTCAGAGCCACCGTTTCAAATTCACCAAATCTCTTCTTTTTGGAGAGAACATCCTTAAGAAACTTAGCATACTTAGGCATCTGCTCTAATGCTTCAGCAAACGGGATGTTGATGTGTAATTGCTTAAACATGTCCACAAATTTCTTGAACTGGACATCTTCATCTTTCTTCTTGAACCTTTGAGGAAATGGAAGCGGCGGCATCTGTGTAGCAAGAGGGGGAGTTGTCTTCCTCTTTTTATCATCAACCGTTTCACCCTCTACCTTCTTTCCTCGAACCACATCAGTGAGATTTTCTTCTGTTTGTTTCCTTTTCTTGGTTTCTTCCTCTTCTACTATACCACCTTCTTCTGAAAGCTCATTTGTATCAAGGTCAGTCGCCATACTGTTAGTGATGTCCTTGCCGGTCTGACTAGGCCTCTGAATGTCAGGTAATTGCTTTCCACTTCTCAAACTGATCGCTTTGCACTCTTCATTACCATCCCTTTTTGGATTGGGAATGGTATCACTTGGTAAGCTGCTTCTTGTGAGTACATTCATTTGTGAAGCCAGTTGACCCATTTGCACCTCGAGATTCTTGATGGCAGTTTCATGGAGAGAAAATGTTGCCTTATTCTCAGCCCTTGCAGATTCTTGATTGGCCAATAATTGAGCAAACATCTTCTCAATTTTGGAATCTTCCTTTTGAGGATGCTGCTGTTGCAATTGATGTTGCTGTGGTTGACCATGAAAACCAGGAGGCCCCATTTGTTTAGCACCGGATGGTAATATTTGTGGGGGATTCAGACTTGGCCCATTTCGCCAAGAGAAATTTGGATGATTTCTCAAATTTGGATTGTAAGTTTGAGAATAAGGATTCCCTTGTGGTCTTCTTTGTGCATTATTCATATAATTGACTGTCTCCAAGGTGTATGGGCATTGATCAGAATGGTGTTCCTCATTACAATGGTCACAAGTGTATCCCGGAGCTTGAAGTGCATGAACTCCTGCAGCATTTCCTTTCTTAATCTGCAATTCTAGATTGTCAAATCTCTTAGATATTGCTTCAAGTTGCGATGCAATATCCCTTGATGATGAAGAACTAGGCTCCTTATATCTCCCAGAACTTTGCCTTCTTTTGTTATACTGTTGCATAGTGCTTGATGCCACCTCTTCATACAGTTCATATAGCTCATTTACCTTCATCTTTTCGATTCCTCCGTTTGAAGCGGTATTCAGCATTGTCACTGTCTGATCATTCAACCCATTCCAGAAAGCTTCCATTAGAACATATTTCTTCTGCTCATGATTTAGACAATTTCTCCACATATCCTTAAATCTTTCCCAAGCCTCATAAAATAACTCATCCGGATGCTGCTCGAAAGAAAGCAATTCACCCCTTAGAGTAGCACGTTTGCCCCTTGGAATAAATCTGCCCTTGAACTTAGACACAAGATCATCCCAAGTCTTAATGGAGTGTTCAGGTAAAGAATTCAACCATGTTTTCGCCTTGTGAGATAATGACATGGGAAACAATCTCAATCTCAGTGCATCTTTAGTAACCCCAGTTTGTTTGAAGTTCTCACAAACCTCTATAAACTTGGTCAAATGCTCATTCGGATCATCCTTAAAATTTCCTTCAAAAGTACCCATCATCCCCAGTAGTTGAATCATAACGGCTTGATTTCAAAATTCCTGGCTTGAATGTCTGGTAACCGGATACTTGAGTGAAAAGTCTGCCCTTCTTTATCCAAATAGTCATCCAGGGTGTACACATCGTTCTCATCTTCCTCCGCCATGTTTTCTTCTGATTCTGATTCAGGTGGTGGTGGTGGCGGCGGCGGCGGAAGTAACTGAGTTTGTTGTTGAATCTCCGGTGTGTTTTCAGTTTCTCCTGACCTGGATACTTCTTCAGTAACTTCTTCCACAATAACTTCCAGTCTTCCTTGCATGCGTCAGGGGTTACCTGCACATTCAAATAAAAAACAAAAGTATCAAACTTATCAAGAGAAATGAACAAAATAAACTACTGCTACTACCTATAATTACTACAAATGCTAAATGGAACTTAAGCGTAACCAATCACACAATAAGGACAATCAACCTCAAAAACTCTAGCCGTTAGTCCCCGGCAACGGCGCCAAAAACTTGTTCACCAAATAACTTGACCGCAAGTGGACGGGTCGCAAGTAATATAAAAAGTATCGTTCCCTCAGAGACTAAGGCTAGATGAGTTGAAAAATCATAATTGTGTATTTGATTAGGTTAAGTGAAATAATTGTTGTAAAAGAGTTTGTGAAATGAAAGTTAAGAAAACAATGGTTTAAAGCAGTATAAAATCAAATCGACCTTGAAACAATTAATAGACTAGGGTTATTCTTCACTAAAGTACTTCATGAAACTGGATTAATTACTTCTCAAATAGTGTTTTACAATAAATTCAGTTAGCTGGGTTTATAGAATTGATTAAGCTTTCTCAAGTCAAAACCAAATGTTGCAAACACCATTAAAACACAGCAATCTCTTGCACTTGTTTGAAAAGGTTGCTCTTTAAAAACCAAAACCCATTTAGTCTATGCTAGGTCAACAAATACATCTCTGATCAATCGACAAACCATCTATTCACTCAAATAAATTTCTGGACTAGCATGTTTTTACCTAAGTTCACGAATTAGTTTAACTTTCTCAAGTTAAACTAATCAATCAATCAATCCAAATGATGGCCAGACAAAAGGAAGCATTAAGCTCAAAGTAAAAACAACTGAATATTATCATTAACACTAAAGAGATAGTAAAACCCAAGTCTCAATCCATACAATAGATCAAAATAACCCTAGAAAAACGGATTTAGCTATACATGGCAAGTAAAGAACTACAACTATAGGAGTATCTAGTAGTCATAGCAGAAACAAGAAGGGAAGAAGAAGGAAACCCAGAAAATTTAAGATACAAGCTTTGAATCTCTTCTAGCTTCAAGCCCAAAAGTTCCAAGCCTCCAAAACTCCAAACCCTAGCAGAGCCAGCCTCCAAAATTGCTCCAAAAGTCAAACTCTCCTAGAAAACCCCTTTCTCACTCTATATGCCCTAATTTTTTAAGTTAGGAAGTAAAACGCACAGCTGCGAGGGGCCAGGCGCCGCGGCGGATTGCTTCAGGCGCCGCGGCGCCTATTACAGAATGGTATTGTGACTTAGGCGCTGCGGCACACGTGATAATTGGTCGCGACGGATTTCACCGAACAGGTTGCTTCCAATGTAGCTTGGGCGCCGCGGCGGATTTTACAGAGGCGCAGTCTTCCCTTTCTGTGTGATCCACCGCGGCGTTTTCTTCCATAGGCCGCGGCGGATGCTTCTTTTCAGCTCTTCCTCCATTCTTTACTTTTCTCAGGCTTTGTTTCCTGTAAAATTGACTTATAAACCCAATAAAAGAATGTTAAATCAGCTTAATTCAGTAGGAATTTTGAGAGGTTATCAGTTCCTAGTAGTGTCAATTGTATACAAAAGGGGTAAGATTTGAAGGAAATCTCAATAGCAAATAAAAACAATTATAGCATTAATAATACAAGGTTAGTTCATGCTATATGCAAACAACATCCTCACATATTTACTTACATTTTCATGTCATGGAAAGGGAGTACATATACATTCTATTAAGAACTCAATTATACATATTACCAAGGTATAAATGCAAAGATTTAAACACATTTCATTATACATAACTCAACCACATCATGACATAGCATACACAGCAAAAACAACCAATGCAAATCAATACTAAAAGTGTAAGTTCATGCTACCTTTTAACAAGCCTTACTCCTTAGTTCTCTTGTTTGTTCTTAAGTCTCCTCTTGCTCAAATTCAATGCCTTTCAATTACACAACATTGGCATTCTAAATCATTTCAAACAATTCCATGACATAACATAATTAAAAACCCTAACCCTTTATCCTTGATTCAGGGTTTTTGCATGATCTTTCTTAACATAACTGTCATATGCTTTTTTTACATAATTTTTCATGTAAAATCCATATTTGAACTTATATTTATTAAAATCTAATTCCTTTCCATCAATCCTTACGTGGCTGAAACATAGGGTTAGAATTCCAAAAATTTTATTTCCAATTTTAATGCTTCCAAACACTTTTTCTCCATATAGTCATACACAATTTCACCTTTTAAACTCATTAGAAGCATCAAATTAACATGAATCAAACTCTAACCTCATGATCCTAGTTGATTGACATCAAATTCCCGATTCATTAGAAAGTTGGGGTTCACCAATTGGATAAGATTAGAAGCATCTGGTTTTGCAGGAGGTATTTGGGTCCTTTGGAATGAACTAAATACTCAGGTTAATTACATTTCCTCCACTACCCAACTCATCCACTGTCAAGTAGCGGCTGTCAATTCTGTCGAACAGTTTGCTGTAACCTTCGTCTACGGAGAGACAGTAGCTTTAAGAAGAACTGAGTTGTGGCATGCTATTCGGCACCTAGCACAGGATATGCCTAATGATTGGATGGTGATTGGTGATTTTAACTCCTTTATGGACCCGGCTGATAAACTTGGAGGAGCACCGCCACCTTTGAATACTATGAAACAATTCTCAGATTGTATCTCGGAAGCTGGGCTAATTGAAATTCCGGTTGTGGGTGAACGATTTACCTGGGAAAAGCAAGCTGTGAAGGAAAGACTGGATTGGGCATTCTGCAACTTTGATTGGGAGTTGAGCCACCCTAACCATAAATCTCATCACAAGCTTAGATACAATTCTGACCACAGACTTATTGTTGTTACTAGTGGAAACTCTGACACCAGAACCAAAAAGAACAGTCAATTCAAATACTACTCAGCTTGGGCAATAGAAGATAGTTTCACTGAAGTGGTTAAGAACGCTTGGGAAAATGAGGAGTGGTGCGCTGGAACTATTAAATTTAAGGAGGAGGCTACCATATGGAACAAAAATTACATGGGCAGTATTCCTAAACGGAAGCGTGCTATTCTGAAAAGAATCGAAGGCATTGATCGAGCAAGACAGAATAATAATGCCAATGGTCTGTTTCGTCTGGAGAGAGAGCTCTGGCAAGACTACACTAAACTAGCAGCCCAAGAAGAACTCATCTGGTACCAGAAATCTAGGTGCAAATGGATACAATGGGGAGACAAAAATACATGATTCTTTCATGCTTCAACAATTATGAGAAGAAAAAGAAAGTGTATAGAAGCCATACAAGATGAGAATGGAGGCTGGATCACTAATCAGGAGGCCGTAAAGAAATTGGCTCATGAATTTTTTCGAACCTTATATACCAAAGACTGCCCAGTAAGTGACTCCTCAAGGTGGATTGCCCAATTCCCTCCTATCACCCCCTCTAATTTCGCTAACCTTCATAGGGAGGTGACCGACATCGAGATAAAAAATGTTGCTTTCATGATGGGGGCATTTAAAGCTCCAGGACCGGATGGACTACAAGCCCATTTTTTTCAGACACAATGGAACGTCATAGGCCACAAGGTGTGTGCGTTCATCCATGAAGCCTGGAAAGATCCAAGTAAGATCAGGAATATCAATCATTCCCACATTATTCTGATCTCGAAAATTGACAAGCCGGTAACCATGAAAGACTTCCGGCCTATCTCCCTTTGCAATGTTAGCCTCAAGATGATAACAAAGATCATAGCTAACAGACTCAAGAGTATTATGTGCTATCTTATCCAACCACAACAATGTAGCTTCATTGCTGGAAGACAAAGTGGGGACAACATCATCATTGCCCAAGAAGCTATTCATACTATGAGGAAGAAGAGTAGCAAGAATGAATATGTGGCCCTGAAGGTTGATATGGAAAAGGCATTTGATCGCCTAGATTGGTCCTTTCTCAGCAGCACACTATCAGCCACAGGGATAAAGAAAGAAATGATTGATAGAATCATGGCTTGCACCATCTCAGCTTCTATGAAAGTCCTATGGAATGGAGAGGCTTGTGAGACTTTCTTCCCAACCAGAGGAGTCCGGCAAGGTGACCCTCTAAGCCCTTATTTATTCATTCTGTGCATGGAAAGATTAGGACACTTAATCAACAAAGAGGTCTCAAATGGAAACTGGAAAGGGCTAAGGTTCAACAGGAGGACCCCCCTATTTCACATCTCTTTTTTGCTGATGACCTGCTTCTATTTGGTGAAGCTTCAACTGAACAAGTGGATATGATGCGAAATACCATGAAAGCCTTCTGTGAGGTGTCAGGTCATAGAATCAGTCTAGCTAAATCCAAGGCCTTTTTCTCCCGAAATGTACACTTCAACAGAGCTAGAGATTTGAGCCAGAGAATGGGAATTGGGATTACAGGAGACCTCGGTAAATACTTGGGTGTTCCTTTATTACATAAAAGAGCTACAAAACTCTCCTTCCTCCCAGTTATACAGAATGCACAGAAGCGGTTGACAAATTGGAAGAGCAAACATCTCACCATGGCAGGAAGAGCAATTTTGATCAAATCAACTCTCTCAGCCATCCCAAGCTACCAGATGCAAACTATGATGCTTCCAAAAAATGTACTCAAGGAGCTAGAGAAGATCAGTCGCCATTTCTTGTGGAACCAGGATTAAGATAGTAAAAAGATGCACCTTATTTCCTGGGATCAAATCAAACGATGCAAGGAAAAAGGAGGACTTGGCATCAAGGATCTGCAGAACCAAAATACAGCCTTCATCATAAAACTGTGCTGGGGCCTCCTTACCAAGCCCGAAGCCTTATGGGTGCGATGTCTTAAAGGGAAATACGATTGTGGTGATGAAATCTATCCAAATGTGTGCAAGAAACAGAATTCCTCAAGAGTCTGGCAAAGCATTACTTCAGTTTGGGACAAATTCCATAAAGGAATTGGACGAACCATTAAAGATGGGAAGACAACCAGTTTCTGGTGGGACCTTTGGTCCCCTTTGATGAGCCCCTCATACACTATGCTGAACACAACCTTCATAACCTAGACCCCTGTGATAAGGTGAAAGACTTTATACTTCCCAATGGTATGTGGAATGTTGATAAGTGGAGAAAATTCTTACCCCCCTGGATCACCAACACCCTTGCCAAACTACGCACCCTCTCAGGTAATGAAAAAGACAGATTTATCTGGAGAACTGCCTCAGATGGTAACTTTAGTATTCGAGCAGCCTATAAATTTGTTTCTACACGAGTGGAACATCCAGTGGCGGTCCCTTGGAGAAAAGTGTGGAAACTCCCTGTTCTAGAGAAAGTTAAATTCTTTTTTTGGCAAGTCTTTCATGATAGACTCCCCACAAACGCACTCAGAGCTAAGAGAGGCCTAACAAACAATGCTGAGTGTCCTTTTGAGTGTCTAAGAGAGGAAAACACTTTACACATCCTTCGTGACTGTGAGATAGCCAGGAATGTGTGGATTGAAATTATCAAACCTAACCATCTTGTCAGTTTCTTTTGCTCTGATTTGCAGGTATGGCTCAGGAGATGCATGTCCCATAATTTGGGAAATGCACGGTTCGACAGGTGGATATGGACTCGTGTGTTCTGTATGATCTGTTGGCTTATTTGGAAAAATAGATGCAGGGGAGTCATGGAAAATATGAGACACCAAGCAAAGGATATTATCCACAATGGATTAGCTAACCTGATGGAATCTACTATCTATGGACAGCTAAAACACTAGGTCTTCAAACTCGATGAATTGGATGTCTACCGCTGGCAACCACCACCAGAGGGATATGTGCGTCTGGATACAGATGGATCAGTTAACAACAACAGAGAGGCCGCTTGTGGAGGACTCATTAGAGATGCTACGGGCCAATGGATCTTTGGATTTCAGCGTCAATTGGGATTCATGAAACCCACGACTGCAGAAATTCTAGCTCTTCTTAATGGTCTACAAATTTGCCGACAGCAGAAGCTAAACAAGATCATTGCCTACACTGATTCAATGGAAGCCTTCAATCTAATCTACAAAGATGGATGGCACGGACACCCTCTTAGATCAGAAATCAACGAGATCAGAAATCTTCTTTTCTCGGACTGGGAGATTGAATTGCGCTATGCACCACGTGAAGCCCTTAGATGTGCAGACTTCCTTGCCAAAGACGCTCAACACCTGAGAAGTAATTCGCAACTTTTGCCGAATGCACACCTAGGATGCCTCTCGTTCATGAGAGACGATATTTCCCAACAATCCAGTCTGGGAGTCCTTTTCTGATTTTCACAAGTTGTCTTAACTTGCCTGTTTGTATTCGAAAAAAAAAAATTAAAAAAAAAGCTGCAAGAATTGTTTTATTACACAGATTCATGTCTATTTAATTTTTTATGTCAATTCCATCTATCTAATTAGTTTGATTCCATATGAATAAATTTTTTGTTAGATTCTTTATTTCAATTCACACAAAATGATTTTTTTTTAAGTTTAAAAAGAATATAGAGAATAGAGCGAGCGATGTTATGGAAAATAAATAAAGAGGAACTTTATTGGCCTCTTTATATATATATATATATAAATATATATATATATATAAGAATGATAGAAAATGTAAATATTGCAACACGAATATGAAAATTTTAAAATGATTCATCTTTTGAGAAGACATCTAAATTTATTTATTTGAACTTTTGTAAAAACCTCTTTTTCAAAATAAAATTATTATATGCCATTCCATAACTACTCATAATTCCTTATACATTAGCATTCACTAACGCTCAAAAAAAGGGAAGGAGGAAATTAGATACAATGTATTGATTAGATACATAGTATACTTGGCAACTCAAATTATCTCGTCATATTAAATTAAGAAATAATTCTTAAAAGGCCAAAAACTAAATTTACTCTCTCTCTCTCACGTGTACATGGGCGCGGATGTACATAGAAAAGAATATTAAAATGACTACTTATAAAGAAAGCATTTGAGCCCCTTTCTTTTGCTCTCCTTTGGTAAGAGCTCTGTTTCCTGGCTTGTCTGTGTAGCTGGTAGTTCTCGGCGATTCTCTCCTCGATGCTCGTCGCATGATAGTTTAAGGTATGCATGTGTATTTTTATGGCGTTGTGTGTTTATGGTGATACTGTTGATGATGGATCATTAGCTAGATTTGATGATAAATCAGTCCGATCTCGCTTCCTAAAGCTGCGATGGAGGCATGTGTTGTCTTAAACCGATCAACTATTGCAATTTTCATTTAGATCTGGTCTGCACTGCTTTGTGGTTGGTGTGTTGGTGATTTGATTTCTATGGTGGCAATGCTTGGGATTGTAGATTCGCTATTTTCTCAGTGTTGTTTTAGGTCCTATTTGATTTTTGGCTTCAGATTCTTCTAATTGTTATTAGGGTTTTCTCTTGATTTTGTGTAAATCTGGCTTTAGATTGTTTTTTTAATTGTAGTCTGGTTAGTTTGACTTAAGGAAAAAATCAATTGACTTGTTGATATTTTTTCCTCTTGCATTATTAACCATAAAGTTTGACAAAGCGTATGCTAATGATGATGAAGAAGAAGGTGAAGATCAAAAGGATTAAAGTATCACTGAGTATTATGGCGCGTGTTCATCTATGCCTATCAGATCAACGATATACCAAAGGTAATTAATTATGAGTATTTCTTTTCTATAATAATCTAGACATGGACTTATACATATACGTCTAATTGCATGTCACTGTAGTTGATATAATGTCTCCTTCAAATATTATCATAAAATCTCATTAGATAGACCAACTTTATGGTAAAAGCATCATTGAACCTATTATGATCAATCACTATTATTTTATTGTCATGTGTCATCTTGTTAATCTTTAACAAAATCAATTTATAAACTTGATGATAAATTTCCCAAATTTTGAAGATCAAAGTGGCAATGGACTTGGACCAGCAAAAGAGATTTAAGTAAATCATCGCTTGAATTTGCAAGCTTTTCTCTTTGATTCCACGTTTCAATGATTTTATTATCTGGTCAGATCCTTTTGCATAGAACTTAGGCATTGCTTTTTAGCGTTTATTATCAAGTTCACTAATAAAAATACCGACAAACATACAATTTTTACATCTAAACATGGGGTCTTTCAAAGTATCTTCACATGAACAACTATGACTATTTCTTCATCTACTCATAGTTTGGTCTTCATCTTTAGATCTGTTTAAAGGCTTTGAAATCATATAAAAAAATGCAGTATGTT